ATGTAATATTTTTTAATACCCTTCAGCATTATACAAAAAATTGTGTTATGTCTGTATGTCAATAATTTCTTTTTCTTCTAAACAATAGACTTAAAAAATTAAACATGGTAAATTAACTTTTATCATTGTTTATTTGAAGCAGAAATCCTCACACTTTGTATGTTTTTTGTTCCTTGCATGTATATTGGGTTTAAAAATTATTATCATTTTAAATTTGTGTTGCTGTGGATTGAACTGTGGTCATTATTATGCACGTGGGGCAAATATTCCATTACTGAACTCTATACCCTAGACCCTGTATGTTAGATTTTTGAGTACTAATAACATTTTAGAATATTTACAGGAAGAGAATGAGTAACACATTTAACACATTATTCGTTCTGTAGAAATATTAAGTACTTTCATAGAAACTAGCCTTTAAACTGAATTCTACAGTTCATCTCATTTGGGAGCATTACAATAAGTGCTACAGTTTCTGTTTCTTAGGGGAAGAAAAAATGCTTATGGAAAAATAGGCTTTAGAATTAACTCCTGTTTAATAATAGCATGAGCTTGAAATGTTTTATAGGGTGTTTCTTACATCCATTCAACAGTGTTGCAAACCTTGAATCCCATGACTTTAATAGTACTTACTATATGGAGAGGAAATTCCTAAGAATTCTGTGTAAGCTGAAGATATTGTAAACAGCATAATAAAGGAACATTTCATCTAGGTTGCTATAATAAGTCTTAAAAAGTTATATGGTCTGTTTTTATTTGTGTTTTCTGTTGAATGGACAAAAGTTCGTGGGTAACTGTGGTTAAAATTGTAAGGAAACTCCCTTTGAATAAGGTATAGAGTTTCCCCATTTTACTTGAATTGTAACAGATTAATCAGAATTCATATCCAGTAAATATCATTGTCCTTTTGAAATGATAAGAGGTTAAAGTGTAATATATTGTGTATAAAACTTTATAAAGATCCATTTTAAATCATTAAACATTTTTATACACTTGAGATAATCAGAATATTTTACTGTTTAGAAAATATCAAGTATTGGCGCTTACTGTTATCCTTAATATAGGAGCTTAGTGCCAGCTTTGTTTTTGACTATTTTAAATCTTGAGTAGGAGTTATACAACTTTGGTTCATTGGTATAGGAGAGGAACAAATAGTCTGTTAAGGTGACCTGTCAGGAAGCCCCTGCCTGAGCTAGCATTGGGTTGGCAGTGGCCGTTTAATGACAGGTCTGGCCGCCTATGAGAAATAGTCACACATTGTCACAATCATGGTTTTAGCTTCTGCCATAGGATTTTATTCACCTTGGATTGATAGCGCTCACTTGGCCACATGTGTAATAGTTTTGGAAAGACACTGCAGAGGTTTCCCGTTTCAGGGAACCGTTTCTATAAACATGTCTCTAAAGACTTGGTTGATAGCATTTGCAGTCTTAATGCTTATGCTAAACTCACAGCTTGCCTGGTGCCCTAGACTGGTCTTCTACGAGTGTCCTGGCAGAAGTCTGAAGCAGCGTGGAAGTGGGTGTGCGTTTGGTGTGCAGAGGACTTTGCAATGTCCCTTTGTTCTACCGTCAGTTTCCAAGTGTGCGTGGGGGCTTCATTAATCATCGGAAATGCAGAAATAGAGAATCCAGTCCCATTGGAGTTTTGATATGAATACTTACCTTTTCTCTTTTAATATATATACAGTTGAGGTATTTGGGTAACCCCTAACCTTTTGCTTTAACAAGGAAGCACAGTATAAAAATATTACCACAGTTTTCATGCAAGCAGCTCCTGAGAGGTGGGGAGAAAGCCCTCTAGATGAATATTTTTGAAAAAAAAAAGTTGTGATACAGACTGTCTTAACTTAGCCCAGTCTAGTACTTCAGGACCACCAGTGTGTGAAATTGAAAGCACATGAGTTCTGAAGCACTAGAGGAGGTTTGTAATTGATTAGCGCTGCTTGAGAGTATTGAAGTACAGGGAGATTTGATTTGTGAATGGTTCTATTCAATAAAGATTAATTCTGTGTTCTTGATAACATCTTAGTCCCCTCCACGAGTCAGCCCCCACCCCCAGTTTGCTTAACCGTCCTATATTTCAATATTCAGTCTTCTCTTAATGAGCTGGAACATTTCTGCCTTACGGAGTTCAACTTAGATGACTGACTGAAACAAGTCTGACCATCAGCAATTATTAGCTTGAAGGGTGTAATTGAAGAAATTATTTTTGTTTTATTAAAATAATTAAAATATATTATAATGTAATTGTGTATATTTCATGGCTTTCTCCTGATTTAGAAACTACTAGGAAGCTCATTCAGACTTAACGGATCTTTTTCTATAATTCCATTTACATTTCAAAACATCTTTATGATTTAAACGTGAAGTCAGTATTAATCTTGTAAAGTGGAATCATCTTTTAGAATGCATGGTAGTCTCTTTGGGTATTACTTGGCAGTTTTAGATTTTAGTAAATATTAGAGTAGCCATCCATATTCATTCTTTTTAATTCTTCTCTTTAGATTATCGAATTTATCGCTGTTATTTGGGAAACAACTTGAAAAACTTGGTCACGAGGGGATCTTGAAAGTACAAAATGATTATTGTTGATATAGACCACAACTATTGTTTTGGGAATGACTCTTTACACATTATGCTTAATCATTGACTTTGGTCTGTTATAAGGATTCTGTGTAGAAATGTAATCAGTCAGCTTATGTGATTTCACAAACAGTCCCTAATGGTGAGATACTTGTTGAGTCAGTCTGCTGTTTCAACAGGATTTATTCCTATTAAGTAATGGTTTTGAGTAGCACAGATTGAAAACCTTGATGAAAGTATGCAGAGATCAAGGACACTGGGACTCTGCCATCTGTCTGCTGTCCCCTTGCACTCCTCCCTCACTGCTTATGGCTGAGGTGAGATGATCAGTAAGGGTATGCCTTGTCCCTTACCTAAGAGCATTTTCCACAGTTGGCACATGCACTCAGGCCATTGCGTTAGGTGGTTCTGCCGAGCACTCTAAGAGTTTTCGCCTTCACATACATTATGGAACAGGGAAACGTGACGTGATGATAACCTGGAACAACTGTCCACTCCTCACCTGTAATTAGTCTGGTGTAATAGGTTCACGCTAAGTTCTCTAGCCTTTCCTAAGGTACTGTTTGGAAGAGGGGAGGTAGGGAAGGTGAGACTCACCTTCTAGAAGAGAAAGACTGGCTACCATGTGAAAAAGTACTGCATGCTGGAGAAGATGACCTCGATTTGTCTTTTAAACTTGGTCAGGTCTTGGAAATTTTCATATAGGGCAGTCACTAAGAGCGTCACAACATAAGGCCCACTTCCACCCCTGTAGGATGGGAGAAGGCCACTTCAACATCTTCTTTGTGACAGTTATGCCTCCAGGGCCAGATGTCCCTTAACTGCTTGCTGCTGTGCCTGCCGAGCAATCCCTTCATGAACAGAAGCTTTAATATATGTTTTTTCCTTTTTGTCTCCTAGTCACTAATAGCAGATCTTCTCCTGTGAGAACTGTACTTATAATCTGGGGTATACTGGGGTATAATGTAGTCTAGTTGTGGTTACTTTCTGCTTCCTAAGGCAGAGATTTTTAAAGTGATGCTATGCCCACTTTTAAAATTAGAAAACAATCTATGATTATTACACTGATTATATTTTGTAACTGAGTGGCCTACTTTTGGCTACTGTGGGAGTCATTACAGCAGTGTTACATACTTTAAAAATGAAAACATGAAGTACGTATTTCTTTAGAGAACCCCCTCCCTTTTTCAGGTTTAATTTTCTCTTTGACTTAAGAGGGACCCTCTCCTAGGAGCCAGTTAAGATGTGTGAGGGGGGAGGAGTAATGGAGCTCCAGTCAATAGTCTGAAAATTCCCCAGCTAAGTTAATGTAGGTACACACAAGCAAAGGATTCGGTCTTTAAAATCTGCCGTGTAGTTGGGACATGTTGGATATCATAAAGAGAATCATGTAAGTGGACATTTTACTACAATCCCATGATAGTTGATCAGGATTGAAGTCATTTACATATCTGTATCAGCACTCACTGAACATTTAGTATTAAGAGACTATTATGTTTGTTTTGTTTTAAGAGTCCAGCATGATTTTGTCGGCATGGCTCTTTTAAATCCTTCAGGGTATCCTTTCGAAGTTTATTTTTCATGAGACTAAAAACGGTCTTCATTTTGCTGGTCTAAGAATGTGCTCAGAGGATCCTATCCTAGAGGTTTCAGTGTTTGCTGAGTGTAACGAGTTCTGTGTGAGAGTAATAGCGTGTAGAGATAAAATTAAAATTATTTAGAAAATTACAGTTTCATGTAGAGTAAACGATTTAAACAGTCAGTGTCCTGAACTACTGCAGATCTTTTCAAAACAGCTCTGATGTCCTGAGAATGCTTCTGTTCTAGCTGAATGTCTGCTTCAGTCACAGAAAACTGTTTAGAAACAAGCTTCTAGAGATATATGAGGACAGTTTCAGACAGTAAAGAGAATTCAGTGGAGCTGCTTAAAATGTTAACTTTCCTCCAGGTTTATTTCTGTGTCATACACACTAGCCCATAATGTTTCGATAATTCTGAGGTCTGCTATTTTGTAAAATTGCTTCCTTTTTGAAATTTGTTCCAACATTGGGAGCTGCCGAGTCAATAACTTAACAATACTTTGATTAATTCAGCATTCAGTTTATTCTAGTGAGGTTCATGAGAATGTTAAGCTTTTACTGATTTTAACATCCTTGTTTCTGTTACACTGGAAAACATTTTGATTAACATGAGCTCATTTAATTTTGTCGATTTCAAGCCATTACCCCGAGAGTTAGTTACACATGCCAAGTACAAATATTTACAGCAATTTCATTTTTCAATGTCTAGTGCAACAAACTAGCATCCTCCTGACCTTTAACATGTTGTGACCCCGGGAAGCCAGCAGCCCGTCTAAGATGCCCTCTCTGCTCAGCAGGTTGCTAGCAAACAGCATGAAAACACGGTGACACTTACCCCAGAAGAAGTTCTGCTGGCATGCTGTCACTGTGCTGAAGAGGCTGTTGGATGCCATAGTCCTTCCCTTTCCTTCCAGATAGAGCTGGTGCCCTCTGTGGTAAATACTGCTTGCAGCCTTAGACTGAAAACACAAACCATACCCAGTCCTTGTTTAAGTTGTACAGTATGCCCGGAGTACATAGACTTTATATTTATTTTTTTCTGTCAAGAAATTATGTAGCTGGTAACATGTGAAAAGCAAGGAAACAAAACAGAGAAGAATGAGCAAATATTTGAAGGACCTACTATTACTGCATAGACTGTGGTTAGGGCACTCACTGACTCGCTTGCTCTCGGTGGCTGGTAGTGACCTGCGGAGATTAACCATTTAAGAACCAGAGACTTGTTGCTGTCCTCCTGGAGAAAGCTTGCACCGCACTTGTGGTTCTGTGGTTGTTTGTGAGGCGAATGAAGCATTCACACAACCCAAAAAAGCAAAAGCTTGAAAACTCCTAGTTTTTGCAAGCACTACTACTGGAGAGACAGAATCATGTGGTTTGTGACCTCACAGTACTCCAAGTGAAGTGGGCCTGCCCACCACTGTGGCTTTCCCCTTGCTCTCCCCTCCCTCTTTCTCAGTCTTCCTTCTCCCTCCCTCCTTCCTCTTCTCTCTTCCTCTCCCTTTCTTTCTGTCTTTCTGCTTATGGGTCCTCTCTCTCTCTCTCTCCTCACCACTTCTCTCCCTCTCTCCCTCCCTCCTTACCCCCCTCCTCTCTCTCTCTCTCTCTCTCTCTCTCTCTCTCTCTCTCTCTCTCTCTCTCTCTCTCTCTCTGACAAAAGGCTTGTGGTAAGGCCTTCCTGGCATCCAGAAGGCTATAGCGTTTTAATTTTTGTGACTCATGAGGATTTGGATAGAATACAAATGCTGAAGGAGCCCACACTCCTCTAAGGTTAACGTTTGGAGAGCAGATCTCCGCGGCTAAGGGTTTCCTTTCTCCCACCTCCCCACTCCTGCCTTCCCTCTGCTCTTTTCTTCTCTGTTTTCTACCCCTCCTCCTTTCCCTTCATTATTATGTCTATGGAAAAGTGAACAAAACTGGCTCAAGGCAGCATGTGACGATCAGAACAGCCATGCTGAGTTACAGTAATCTACATCTTGGGATTGTGTCCCACGCAGAGCCGCCTCTTAGGTCTACCAAGGTGGCTGATCCCTTCTATTTGCCTTTTGCTTGTCTTCCCAGACTTGTGAATCTGTAACTCATTGTAAAAAAAAGTTTACCTTTCCAAAGCTCTGCTTGCAAACTCCTTGCTGGGATTGACTGTAATTGACTGTCACCAAAGTGTTAGTCTGGGGACTCCTTTACAAATATTAAATCATGGCTGTCTAGTTGATTTTATATTAGGTGGCGGCTCTTACCATAAAGATTAAATGTAATTACTGTCATATTATTTTTACCATCATCTCATGGCTACTTTGGAGATCTTATAAAACAAGTGTTAAGAATTGCAGGATGGTTTGTTGGAATAATGTTAGTTTTCTGTGTGATTGGATTTTTATCTTTCACAGAAATGTGTTTGTATAATTCTTTAGTCAGCTTGCACAGTGACTTTAACGGTTTTGGATTGCAGATCTTCTGCATATATAGTGAAATACTCAGTAACTTCCATAGCTTAGTATTACACTTCACAAGCTCAGAATAGAGTGGGTTAAACAGAAACTGTAGTTTTTTTGTTGTTTATAATGGAAGCTTTGAAATAAATTACAAAATGCTGTGTGTAGTAAGGAATAATGCACAGACAGAGTATGTTAGTCGTCTCGATTTGCTAATTCTGATTCAGAAGAAAATTGAAACCATCTTTGGGAAACTATCTCTTCTTTTGCCCTCTTGGACATATATGTATAGAGCTCATTTTCTTATTAGGATGATTATATATCATAGGCAGTGAATTTCACATTTATGAATAGAGCTTCCTGTTTTCATCAGTTGGGAGCGAGGGAGGATTTTTCAACAAACGTTATAAAGGCGAGCAGACCAATTTCCTAGGCATTTTTTGCCATTTATCCACGCCACTCTGAATTTGCATGTTAGATTTCTTCCTACTGTGATGGTAACCAGCAGTGGCATGAACTAGATGACTGAGATGGAGGTGGGAACAGGAAAGCAGAAAGCCTTGGTTGGGGTACAGTGGGGCCACAGGGAGGGCTGAGGAGGTGACGGAAGTAAAAGACCCTGTCTGTTCATCCCAACCCAGCACAGCTCGCTATCTGTCTTTGGTTCCTGTTGTCTAGGAAACCCTCCCTGTTCCTGAAGGGTTTTCTATAAGTACTGGAAAGAGATGGGAATGATTTTAACCCCTTGTTTTTCAAGTGTCTAGAACTTTTTCCCAGAATGAACTTTTAATGACAAAACCACAGAAATACATTCTTGTTGTTTGATTTTGAGGCTGGAGTCATACTTGACTGTAAAACAGATCTTACATTGAAGTTTTCATTTAGGGTCATTATTCATGCAGAGAAGAAAAAAGTTACTCTATTAGCCTCTTTCATAAATAAAGTGTGCCAGTGTGATCTTTATCTCTACTATCCAAAGTAAGTAAAGGAAGGTTTGTCCGTAAATTTGTGGAGTTTCTGAACTTGGCTCCATATGCACATGCAGTAGCAGCACTTGTGGTTGAAGATAGTTTCTCTATCCTAGACCAACTATATATATATATATTATATATGTTTATATAATATATATGTGTGTGTATGTACGTATATATACATACGCATACATATATAGCAACGGTATGTATACATATGTGTATGTATGTATATATATATGCAGCCACATACACATAGCAACTATATATAAAAAGCAAATGCTTTTCTTTTAGAATGTTCAGATCTCTTAAATCTTAATCTTTTACAAAATGTTTTTTCCTTAAAACATTTTTAAGGTGTATACCCTTTTGTCATTTAAAATGACCTGAATGAATTTGAGTAATTTTACCACCAGCTCATCTGTCTTCCAGTTATGTGATCTCTCTTGCAGGTGACCTTACTGCTTGTCTCTGTGTCCAGCTCTCATCATACAAGACTAGGAGACACTGCTGAACGTGGCCTTTCTGTACTGTGTGAGGCCCATCACATTCTGGCAGGGTAAAAACAAGGAAGTTACACTTGTGGTTTAAGTTTATGTGCTCATCGTCCACGTATCCCCCTCCCAATTCCAATTAGCCTTTCTCAAGAGCAAACAGTACATTGTTGTAGAAATCCCCAAACAGCACTGGTGAGTGACAACACCTTTGATTCTGACTGCATGTTGTTAGAAATGGTCCTAGTGATGGAGAGCCAGCCAGCTTCAGTAAAGCCATGGCGAGAGCTCTTGTGCAGAGATGTCTGCCATGCTTGCATTCAGAGACGGAGGTCGCAGACTGTCTCTAGATGCAGTCCCTTTGGGGGATGTGCTAGCAGTCGCTATGGAGGAAGCCAGCCTAGTTCTACCCTATAGATTCTGTATCTTAATGCTACAGCAATGAAGTTCAGCTTTAAATTTTAAACCAGTCTTTAAAAAATCATAAAATTAGTGCCTTGCTTTATTACTTTACAGTTTAGTATTTTTTTCAAAATTGTCAGTTTTTAAAATATCCAGACATTTGAACATAACAGTATAGTAATGCTTTAAATATCATACATTTCTTTTTGTTATCATTTGAATTAATTACTTGCTCAACTGCTGCTTGAATTTTAATACAATAGTTTTATCAATACTGTGTCAATATCTGTGTTTTTAAAGAAGGATTATTTTAGACTTACATTTGCTGCTTTTCTATTCTTTTAATTAAAAACAGTAAGAAAATGACTAACAAACTCTAGATGTCCACTCTGTCTTAAAATATTCTGATTATGAGACTAGGAGGCTAGGAACTTGGTTAATTTATTTTAACTTGATATTTGGTAATTTATGTTTTTGGGGGCAATTTTTCCTTTTTCAGATTTGATATGTAGCTGTTTACGCTTATCTAACATTTATCAGACTTTTATTAAAGATTTAAAATTGTTCTGTGCTTGTAAAACAATTTTATTTTAAATTATGATTATGAGATATTAATCCTTACATCTTTATATAAAAACAGGAATGCATATTTGGTTGTGAGTACAGAGTATTTTTTTGAACATTGTTATGAGTTTTTAAATTAGATTATATATATTAAAAAACCCCAGTGCCACAATTTTCTTGTTTACTGATTTCACATGTGTACTCCTAGCAGCTATTTTTCTGAGTGTGATATAATATGCAGATTGGATGCCCAAGAGAACCTCTGATATCATTGTCCACTTATACCTTCCCTTTCCTCCGTCTGTCCATCTGTCCTTCCCTCCCTCCCCCTCCTTTTCTCCTCTTCCTTCATTTCTGTCCCTCACTTCTTTATCTCTACTCCAGTTCCAAGCTTTTGTTTGTTTGTTTGTTTGTTTTCTTTTGCCATGCTTTGACATTTCTATATATTCAGAACTTTTTAAAATTTTTATTAAGGCTATTGACATGTTAGTACTCACTAATGAGTACCTGGTAGGTCTGAAACACAGCCCTCTTTGTACACTGTTGTGTCTTGATCTGTTGTAGCTCAGCTGTTAGAGAGTATTGGCATTTGTTTCTGGGAATATTTGATTTCTTCTGATCTGTTCCTTGAATCTTTCCTTTATGCTGATTTACTCAAGCATATTGTTTTGCATGACATTGGCACTTTTATTGTGAGGATCACTTTTTTTCTGAGATTATTCTTTAAAGTATGATGATCTACACTTTAGTAATGTACCTGTATAAAGTATTTTTATCTTTCTTGTAATTATTGAAGCAATTCATCTTTGAATGCTGTCATTTTTTATAAGGATTTTTTTAAAAAGGCGACAACTTGCACAAAATGTGGGAAATATGCTCATATGACAGCTGAGGATGTGGCCAGACTAAAGCAGGAAACGACTACCCACAATGCAATGTTACATACACTACCACTTAATAAAATTTATATCAAACATGCTTCTGACCAAACCAAAGAAAAATAATACCCCAGCTCTGCTGGTGAATGTATCTAGGGAAAAGCGAAACTAACTTTTGTGCTTGCAGAGTCAGTGAAAGTGTGGGGCAGCCTAGTACAGTGGAGCTTTGCTCTCCCTCTGTCCTTGGGGTTCAGTTCTTGAGTGCAGGTGACATCCTTCTCCAGGGAGAACTTTATTGGTGTCACTTGTCTTGGAAAAGGCCCCATAGGCCACCACTCTTTGTTCACTTGAACTGTTTCAGTATTGAATAGTTAGAGGGTCTTGTCAACTGTAAGGGGAAAAAAATGCAATTTTAGATACTGTTTGGCGTACCTGAACTTCTTACAGAGCCAGGTGCGGTTTTTTGTAGTCTGTTTTATCTTTTCTTGAATCAAGCCTGCCGAGCTGTGCTCCCTTCCTCTCCCTGTTGGTGTTTGTCTGTCCACACCGAGTGAAGCAGACTGGCTGCTCTGTGATGTGGTTAAAAAGGTATTAGTGCATCTTATAGAAAGATCAGCTTTTAATGT